CCCAAACAAGATTCCACCCGGGGCCATCTCACCTCCACTCTTTCTCTTGGCAGGAGCTCAGAGCCCCTCCTTGGGAAGTGAGAGTTTTATTCACCTCACCACCCCCAGATAGCGGCAGCTGCAGCGGCAGCAGAGAGAGAGGGGAAATGACAGGGAAGTGATTTAAAAGGGAAGCGCAGGCAAGGGTGCTTGGCGGTGGCGGCAGCAGCAGAGGGACCAGGCACTGCCCGGGCTGCAATTTAACACCTCCCCTGCAAAGAGGGTTAGGAGAGAGAGGGAGGGAGAGAGAGAGAGAGAGAGAGAGAGAGAGAGAGAGAGAGAGAGAGAGAGAGAGAGAGAGAGAGAGAATGAGAGGGAGACTCACTGTAGTCGCTGTTTTCGTCCTTTGTCCCATCAATCGTCCCATCCGGGTGCATCTGCAGGAAGAAGTCTTGCTGGCTGAATAGCCGGGTCACGATCCCTTTCAGCTGGGGTTCTGCAAACGAAGAACAGACACACCGGCATGTACGTCTCTGTGGGGCAGGCGGTGCAAAGAGAGGCCAGCTTTGTCCACCGGGGTTGAAACGGCAAGGGCAGGCCGGCCTATGGGTTCCCATCCTCCAGGTGGAACCTGGAGGTCTCCCGGAATTACACGTGATCTCCAGATGACAGAGATGAGCTCTCTTGGAGGAGATGGCTGCTTCCCAGGGTGGAACCTAGGGACACCCCACCCTCCACCCTCCCCCAAATCTCCAGGAATTTCTCAATTTGCACTTGGCAACCCAAGGAGAAGAAGAGATTGGATTTATACCCCGCCCTTCACTACCCAAAGGTGTCTTAGAGCGGCTTACAAACTCCTCTCCCTTCCCCTCCCCACAACAGACACCCCCTGTGGGGTAGGTGGGGCTGAGAGAGAGCTCTTGACAGGAACTGCTCTTTTTCAAGAACAGCTCTTATCAGAGCTACGGCTTGCCCAAGGTCATCCAGCCAGGTGCAAGTGGAGGAGTGGGGAATCAAACCCGGCTCTCCCAGATTAGAGTCCACGCACTTAACCACTACACCAAACTGGGCACCCCGATGAGTCCTGGAAGTTGAGAGGAGGGACCCAATCCCCTCCTTTGGGGAAAATCAGTGCTGCGCTTGGGAACAGTGTCTCAGGCCCTTTGGAGCCCTGTCCCTCTTTCTCTGTCACACACGGACACAAGGCTTCATCCACACCGGATCCACCACTGGATTTTGCACTATAACCGCCGCTGAGCGACCAAACTGCCTTGCCCAGACGGGGACACCCAGCTGAAAACAATGCCCACTGCGCACGGACGGCACAACATCCAACGATTGGTGGGGGGACACAAGACAGAGAACTTCCAGGTCTGAGAGAGACCAGAGATCACGGGAGCACCTGAATCTGGGTGCCTGAACAACTCAAGATGGCCCCTGCATGCAGCAACAACGATAATGCTTCATCACCATGTGGCATCTTGGCTACTGTACAAAGCAGGGGTGTCAAACATGTGGCCCGGGGGCCGGATCAGGCCCCCGGAGGGCTTCCATCAGGCCCGCAGCGGAACTGGCCATCTCCTGCTTCCAGTTCTGCTGCTGCATCATCGCTTGCTTCGCCAGACTCTCTTAATCACTCAGCCATTTCATGTTTCAACCTGGGTCCTAGACTCAGAACACTTGAGGATGAGATTTCTGTGGCGAACGCCGATAAATCGAAAGTAGGTTTGCAGCTTACAGAGTTGATGTTTTAAGCATGTTTTTGTTTTAAGTAAAAAAAAAACAACCACCTTTGTGTTTGTGTCCTTTATAAAGTTTATATCTCCGCTAACCTGGCATTACATTTTATGACACGCCTGGCCCAGCCCAACAAGGTCTCATTTGTGTCAGATCCGGCCCTCATAACAAATGAGTTTGAAACCCCTGGTGTAAGGAAAAGGGAGAAAGATTTGTTCAGACACAGGCCCTTTCTGCGCTCTCCTTTTAACCCATGCTCACCGCGGTGTCCTCCAAGGAATTCTGCACTAAAATCGAGTCCAACCTTTTTATTCTGGGTCCCCCCCCCCATTCTGCATTACATGACCTCCCTTTGGTGGTCAGCCTGGTTCCAGCCTGCTGTTGCCCCGAGTTATTTGGATGCTGTTTTGCCGTGGACTTAAATTGCCTCGACTTGAATGCTGAGAAAATCCGGAGTGGTCGGCCAATGCGGAAAGGACCATAATCTTAGTAATTGTTAAAAATAAGCCAGCATGCATTTCCCCTCATACTGAAGATGGAGGGGGGAGGTGCAGGATGTCAGGTAGCCCTGTCATAGGTCTGGAATGTGGAGGGGTGCCCTCCCGTTTTCTGTCTCAGCTCTCCCTGGCTCACCAACTGTTTGCTATCTTATGCTTGACCTTGTAGATGCTCCAGCTGCGGTTTTACCCGGCTGGGAAAGTTAACGGCTTTTAGCTTTGTCTGCTTGCTCTGCCCGCGCGCGAGAGATGTATCCATTGGCTCATGCTTACAAGGGGGATGTTTGATTCTAGTATAAGTCAGAGGCCCTCGTATTGGCAGCCATTCCTGACACAAGCTGTACATGTGTCTCTAGTTCTGGATTTACCAATAAACAGTTATCTTCTCATGAACCCCTGTGTTGCATGACCTGACTAAGGACCCTGAGAGAAGGCAGCATGGAATAGCCCCATCTCACCGGATCTCAGAAGGTAAGCAAGGCCAGTATTTGGATGGGAGACCTTCCAGGGAAGGCCATGGCAAACCACACCTGCTTCTCACTTGCCTTGAAAGCCCCTTGCTGTGGGCACCAGAAGCCAGTTGCGACATCATAGCGCACATGTGCAGACGTAAACTGCGGGCTCTGCAGGAACATCTGTCCTTTACCTGCCTGCTGAGTTCATGTATTGGGGTGGGATTTGAACCATGGGCTTCCTGAGTCACAGATCTGAGTCAACACTCCCTCTGAAATACATTGGTTGGTATTGCTGCCACCACCCCCAGGGAGACAAAAAGAAGCAGAGTAGGTTTTTATACCCTGCTTTTCCTTACCTTAAAGCAGCTAACAATAGTCTTCCCTTCCCCCCCACACAACAGGTACCTTGTGAGGTTGGTGGTGCTGAGAGAGCTCTGAGAAAACTGTGGTTGGCCCAAGGTCACCTGGCAGACCTCGAGTGGAGGTGGAATGGGGAATCAAACCAGGCTCTCCAGATTAGTGTCTGTCACTCTTAACCACTGTACCACACTGGCTCTCACCAATTCTCTCCTTCCAGTTCAGAGGTGAGCTCAGCATTTCCTGCTCCCTGATGGTCTAGTCCCCTCTGTGTTCAGTCACCTCTCTCCCTCTGCTTGGGTTTAACAGCCCATTGTCTGATTTTCTGGCTCAAAAGCACGACTACAGAAATGCCACCCACCCCAGAGATCACCCTTCTATTCCAGTAACTGGGACTAACTCTGTTTATGAATGGGAGACTAGCTGTGAGTTCATAGCTGGCAAAAGGGGAAAGGCACAGAGGGATGTTCTCAGACCCTGGGCACTGAGCACTTCAGGATTTCATCACGCAAATGGCTCTGGCCGGAGTCAGACAAAAGGCTTACCATCTAACACTGACTGGCAGCTGCTTTACTTTCGTGCAGGCCCCAGGTAGGCAGCCTCCTCTCGCCCCTCCTAGTCTCGTCTCCATCGGGCTGTGTTACTCCCCCTTCCCCTTCCCACGAGGCGGTCGCCAGTGTTCCCTCTAAGCTGAGTTAGTGTGAGCTAGCTGACAGTTTTTTAGCCTGCAGCTCACACATTTTTGTCTTAGCTCAGGAAGGACAACTCCAGAGCAAACTCATTTATGCAGGAGCCCAATCGCTCACTCACAAGTTTAATACCAGTAGCTCACAAAGTAGAATTTTTGCTCACAAGACTCCACCGCTTAGAGGGAACATCAGTGGTTGCAATCCAGAACTGGGAAGAAACTGTAATCCTCACAACCTGATCTTTTTAGATTACTTTATGGGTATTATTTATGTATCTATTTTATGGTTTTGATGCTTTTATTATATCTTGTATATCGCTCAGAGCCCTGCAGTAGCAGAGATTGGCCGATTCATAAGTGTAATAATAAGTAAGTAAAATAAAATACATATTTTTATTCAGACTGTTAATCATGGGCTTTATTTTATTTTATCAGCTTTGTAATGGTCTGCTTCTGTTTTACGGGTGCTTCTTATGTCTAACGGCTTGTGTTTTAATACTGCGGTTTTCAACAGTCTGCCAACTCGAGCAGGCCCTGCAGAGGCGGCAAAGAAGTATTCCAAATAAATACATATATGACATCTTTGCTACACTTGCCACACCTGAAGGGACAGAGACTAGAAAAAGGCTGGACTGGATCTCGAACACATGACACTCTGTTGTACTGAATTAGACCATCGGTCCACCAAGGTCAGTACGGTCTACTCAGATCCGCAGTGGCTCTCCACGGTCTCAGCTTGGGGTCTTTCACATCACTTAACACCTGATTATTTTAGCTGAAGTTGCCGGGGATTGAACGCGGGACCTTCTGCGTGCCAAGCAGATGGTCCACACAACTGAGCCGCAGCCTCTTCCTCCGTCTTTCCTGTGGGTAAGGCAGATCAGGACAGACCCCAGAGGGGGACGGACTCCTAAGGGGAGAAGATAAAATCTCAGGACAACGGGGAGAAGGGCTCTTAAGTTTGCACATCTCTTAGGTTCTTCTGTGCTCAACCCATGAAGGACGTTGGCTTCACCTGGGGACTCTGGATCACATGTTGAGGGACAATAGGGAGAAGTCCCGAACGATGAAAACCCTGGTAATGGAAGAATTTCAAATGCTGCAATTTTAAGAGATACCGTGTAGGTGTATGTTATATGCTGTCAAGTTGCTTCCGGCTTAGGGTGACCCTCTGAATTCATGGCAGCCTGGCTCAGGTCTTGCAGACTGAGGGCCTTGGTGGCTTCCTTGACTGAGAGTCCGTCCAGTCAATGGGGACTGCATGCTCTCCATCTGAGAAATGCTTTGAGGGGACCTACTCTTTATTGAGATATATGTCAGAGTGATAGAGGTAGCAAGCAGTTACTATAGATCAGTTTGATCTGTTTGTCAGACCTAGCTGTCATGCTAGTAATCATGTAATTACAGCCAGGTGTTTTCTAGCAGGTGTTACTCTTTCAGGGCTTGTTATAGTGATTACATCACCCTGTTAGAGATTGGCTGGCGTTTAGCATAATAGCTATCAGCTTAGGAAGCTGGAGGGGGACTTCATTCTCATAGACTAAGGCATGACATGCTGTACGATAGCCTGTAAATATCTCTGTATATATTCACCTTTATAACTATATAGACTCTCTGTGCACCTTCATAACTGGTCAGTCTCCCGCTTCTTATTTACAACACCCAATACTCTTGGTCTAGCTTACTGCCCAGTTAGCAAGCCTGCCGGGAAGAGCCAGCTGTGAGGCAGCAGGCACAAGGCTCGGCAAGAGGAAGAAGAGAA